CAAGTTGTTAGCCGCCCTGAGTCCCCTCAGGGAAAAGGGCGGCCTATAAATAAACTCAACTCAACTGAACTGAACTGAACTACAGGCATTTTGACATTAGGAGATTAATTACAAACATATTTGACCCAGCACTAGACCTTTTGGCAGTTAACATCCTTTGAAATACCATTAAAATAATCCAGAACTGAACTGAATTTGCTTGGTGGTAGTCTTAGAATCCACACTATGGAAAATGTCTCTGAAATGCTTTTGGTGGCTCTTCAGGTAGGCTGATAAAACATTCTGATGATTACTTGTGGTGACTGGGCATGGATTAATTTTGTCTGGGCAGAATTGGAATACAGTTCTGTCCATTCAGTAAACTGGTTCTGCTTGAAAAATGTGAACATTCTTTAAAATGGTTTGTTTTTATTCATCTCAAATTTGAGTGTCAGAAAAAGTCGGCTGAATGTTACTAGCAGATGTAACATTTATCCCTTGTTTTTTTAAACCTCTTTAATGATTCACTTTGTAATTTAATTGAGAAATCCATTTAGCTTTTTTTCTTCTTTCTTCCCAGCCTGTGTCTAACATCTCAAGGGCCTTCTGTTCAACCTTTTAATGAATGAGTTTTAATTCTGGCCTCATTAAATCATCTTCTTGCCAGACACAAATGAAGTCTCAGACTCTGCACATTTTTAGAATTTTAATGGAAATAGCCCCCATTCTAAAAGAACCGAAATTAACCTTCTCATAATACCATCTGGGATCTTCACTTAATCATTCAAATGTCTGTTCTTCCATTTCAAACTACATTTTCCCAGGAAAGCGTTTAACTTATGCCTAAATTAATATTAATTATTTTATTTAGTTCACTATTTATAAAAAACCCAAAACTTATTTAATCCATTTCTTTTCTTAATTGCTCTGAGGATATATACCGTATGTTTTGGAGTATAAGATGCACTTCCCCCCCCCCCACCAAAAATGGCTGGAAATATCTATGCATCTTATACAGTGAATGTTGCTGAAGCCCTGCCCAACCACCAACAACCACCCTTCATCTGTTTTAAGCCTCTGCGCATTGCATTTTCAGCCTCCACAAACTCCATTATAGACCCGTTCCAGGCTACAGGGATTGCCACAGCACATTGCCGCCAATCACTGCCACAGCACAGCACATTTTTGGTTCCTGCGTATCGTGTTTCTGGCCGATTCCAAGTGGCCGTTGATCCCCGCCACCTGGAACTGGCTGAAAACACAACGTGTGGAGGCGGCGATGTGCTGTGGCGATCCAGGCAGCCTGCAATGGGTCTAAAACATTCAAAAGCCAAAAACGTGATGTGTGGAGGCCGAAAACATGGTGGGCTGTCACAATCCTTGCAGTCTGGGACAGCTGATTGGTGGTATTCTGGGAAGCCAATTCAACCGTCAATCAGCTGCTCATACTGCATCAGGCTGTGATAATGTGCTAAAGCTGATCAGGCTGTTTGCTGTAAGAACACTAGCCAGATGAATATCGATGGATGCTGGTAGGCAGAGGCAGATTTTTTTTCTTGTTTTGCTCCCGAAAAACTAATGTGCATCTTATACTCCAGAGCCTCTTATACTCCTAAAAATACAGTATTTATCTGTGAGCACCTTCATTTGTTGTGGTTTTTATATCCACAACAATTCAGTAGGTTCTATTGTCAGTATTTCTTTTTTACTTTTTGGCCACTATTTGGCAAGGAAGGTTGTGATTGCATTTGGATCACAAATTATCTGGTTCCCTTTATCTACTTTATTAATATGTCTGTATTAGAAATTTCAAGATAGTTTTGAATTCCCTTTCTTTTCTAGATTTCTAAATCTTCCTTCTATATAAAATCATCATGGTGATGAGGCTAATTTTAGGGCCTACTATGATGGCGCAAAAGTTAGAATCAGTGACTTCTACTGTCTGTTTTTCTGTTCATATATGTATGTGTGCAGGGAGAGAGCTAAAGACAGAGCTATATATTTGAAGAAAAGAGACAATTCCATCCCTGGGGCATATATTAATGGAATGGTGCTTGAGGGATTTGCTCAGTCATTCTGCATACTCCATCTTAAATGTGGTGGAAATAGTGCAAGACTGTTTATCGCATAGTTAACCAATCAATGCTTCCTGTTTGTTCCCTTGCAACTGATTGAACCCCCACTTAATCTAGCACAGAATCATGAGGCTGGAGGGAGTTGAGTATTGAGCATTTGCATGTGTCTACAACAGGAATGGCCAACCCTTTTGGACCAAACTTTTTTTTTAAAAAAAAAACAGCTTGATTGATTGAAGCTGCAGGAATGACCAGTGACACCATTTTCAGACCTCTTTTTATGGACAGGAAATTTATAGGAGCAAAATGAATCCTGGTGGCTTTGCTGAGACTTGACTACATTCACTTTAACTCTTCATTTTTGCAAAAACATTTTTAAAAATCAGCTACTATGCCACTAGATTTCAGCAGATGTGGCTTTTCCTACAGAATCTTGGCAACTGTTGGAGATGTGGTTCTCTCGATGCTACATATTATCATATATGGTGGACCTGCCAAAAGGTTAAAGCATTTT